TTGATTACCAGTATTCAGAAAAGTCCAACGATCAAAGACGATGTTTATAGTTAGACAGACAAATTTGGGGCATTTGCAGGAGATCGGAAAATAGATATGTCCCAAATGTTGGGGGGGGGGGGGGGGGCAAACTTAATCGAGCATTGGTGTTAAGTCGGACAAGAACAGTATTAGCATACATTGGGAAATCTTACTTTGAGTGAATCAGTACTGATGGACATAGCTGGTTTCTTACTGCTCACAGTCGTTTTACTCCTTCCACTTCCCCATTTTCTTTTCCTAGGTTGTTCTGCCTTTCCCTCTGTTGATACCGGCGAGTCATTCTTATCAGATTTTTTTTTAGCTGTAATAATATAGTTTGTAGCAACAATAACTATTTACGCAGGTTAAGCTGTAGTAATGGAATATATGCTTATGTTTTATGAAAGGAAGGTTATAATGCAGTATACTGCAAACAACATTTCATTACCACCATCAAGTCAATGCATGTTGTGCTGGTATGTACACATGTATTGGAGCGGAAATGGGAAGGGGTCATACAGATATGATGCAACTCACATGAAATTGAAATTTTTCTGGACTTTGCCAGTTTACTAGGAGAGATGGCTCTCTTTCTTTCCACTGTCGTCTCCACTTCCTGTGAATATATTAAGTAAATTATATTACTAATTGGTAATGGTGATAACTTAGTGTCTGTCTAATTTGTTCCTCAAAACAGCAGAAGATGACTTTTCCCTGTAAAATTACCATTAAGCAAGCATAAAGACAGGGAATAACAAACTGACAACCCCCATCCCCACTAAACCTCCCCCTTAAATGCCTACAAGTGTTTGTTTTTTTTAAATATATAGGTTTATAGAAAAATTATGCTCTATTGAATGCACACACAATTTTATCTTGAAATCCAGTCCAACGAAATATGGTATACTATGAAAAAAAGAATATCAAAACATGCATCCTTGCCAAGTATTAATACAGTATAATAGTGCCCATAAACAGACAATTTGTAACCAGTAGCAACAACTAATATCTATTGATTTTATCTGTGTGTGTTCAAAGATTTGTTTGTGCATTTTAGGTAATTGTTAGCTCTTCAGGCACTGCAAGAAAAAATATAGCTGCGTGTTATCAGCAGGAAGAGAAAAGAGCATCCAAAATTACTTACTTACTTGCATTAAAAAAAAAGAAGAAGATTTTATACCAATGCTTTAACCTTTTCACCACCAGTTCTTTTTTACATCATAAATTCACAAAATAGTATTTTTGATTGAGAAAAAATAGCCAAATTTTTTGAGTGTGACCTGAGAATAAACTCAAATTTTGCATGTTGGCTTCAAAATTAGGGCACATTTCCAGAAATATTGAAGAATATAAGAAAAATTTGGGCAAGTAAGTCTGGTGGTGAAAACTATGCACATCATAGCAAATAATGACCTTTTCAAAGGTCAAACTTTCCACTATTATTCAAGTAACTGTTTTATTTTTAGAATCACTCAGAACAGCAATTCTCTATTTATCTAATATCCTTATGGCAACATATTTGTGTGACAGTTATACTAATTCCAATCTAGTGATGTTTTACTCAAATTTTGACATTTTTTCCACCAATTTCTATGCCTTCTGATGAAATACTTGATTATGTATGAAGAAACATCAATAGCACGTTTTTATGTCACATGGTATGCAGCATAATACAGCCAATCACAAATTGCAAATAATGGACTGCAAGTTTTAGACTGATTTTATTTAACCTTTTTGCCCAAATTTGACTTTTTCACAGAAATGTTTTTGGGAAGTAGGTATTTTTTCATATGTTGATGTGTTTGTTATTATTAACTTGTAATCAAAGTTTCATTGCAACCAAACATGTAATTTTTTTGTGTGAAGCTGATACTGTTAGTGGCACCTGACCGAATACCTAAACAGTAGACTAGTCGCTAGTTGTCACATTTTCCAAATAGTAAATCGCACATTGAATTAGTCTCAGATTAACATTTTTAACATTTACAGGATGAATACAGATGACCCATGCATATCAGGACCCACTATTCCAATAATTACCATTCATCAAGCAATGACCCAAGGTTACAGTGAATAAGCAAGAACTACATTTGTATGCATGCATGCATGGAATGTTTTTAATATCAGAGATGTAGCCAATAGTATGTTGCAGAATTCTATGTAGTTGGTGCGTGTATACGCGTGTGTGCATGTGTGGATTTGAATGTAAAAGTCACCTTCTGCTGGTAAATATAGAAAATCAAGTTATATCCAAAAAAATATGCAGAATTTTGACTGCCCAACTCTGGGCTTACATAAAACGATAAGCTTGAAAATCTGTCTAACAGTTAGTTTCCCCCAATGACCATTTTGAATGAAACCACCAATAGGTACACTACCCAACCTATGCTGTAGCTGTCAACTTCAGGACATCAGACATTCCATGATGGTGATTGGGGAATGGGAACCGGTTGCTTTACTCAATTGACCGAAATTATCAATAAACTGGCTGACGATCGATCCTGCACTGTGCTTTGGCTGCTTTCATACATCGCTGGGATAAGGGTCAGGCACTTTGTAGCGATGTGCTCAGACCAACTGTTCTACAAACTCTAGTGTCTAGGATATGGAGTACCACACATAAGCTTGTGACCGAACATCTGGAAGGCGTGCAAAGTAACCAAAGCTATTTGATTGTAGTCTTTTTTGTCATCACTTTTTTAGTCATAAACGATGAAAGTTCAAGTTCTGTTTATGAAAAAACTGAAGCTGTATGATCTTAGTTCAATCCAGTTTGATGAATAGAGCAGTCTCCAAGATGATTTGATGTGTCCTTTAACAAATCAGTTGATAATCACATGCAGATTGTAAGCGTACAATTTGAAGAATGCACCTGTCAGCAGGTAACCATAGCTACAATTTGTGTACAGTTTCGATGTTCTGCATGATGTTAGCTGTACAAAGTTCAAAGCTAAGGAGTATGTGTTCAATTACAGTCTACCAGGTTCATTTTAAATCAGTTTGTTAGCGAGACGGAAGACTCGTATGACAATTTCATAGTATTGCCATGCACCACAAAGATTGTTCTTGATGATGAAAACTGATAGCATGTTGCAGAATGTTCAGTATCCCACAGTAAATATCACCGAAGGCTCATTTTGTACACATTTACAGTTGTGCAGCTTGTAGAGTCAAGCAATTCGTTCATGTCCTTTCAATCATAATTTATTCCAGTAAGTCACAGCATAAAATATGTTGTATCAGCAGTAGTAACAATCAATGCTACTACACACGTCCATCAGGCTATTACAAATCATTCACACAATCTGTCCTAAACAATATCTCTCCTTTGTTGCTTGATATTGTTTGTCGTTGCAGATAGTCCAAATATATACAGAAGTAAGATCCCACTGCAGCAGTTGTATCATACAGGTGTTCACTAAACCGCAATATTGTCGTGCAGTAGACACCATGCTCATTACAAGTACAAGTCCACGCATAGTAGCAATATGCTATATTACAGTCCAGCGACAGCCAAGGGAGTGTAATCTCTCTCACACACAGAGTCTTGTTGTGCAGTACAGGACAAGATAGGAACACATTTGCTGGCTTAGAATGACATCTGTCTTTAATTTAGGCAGCATCAGGTAATTGCATCCATGGGTAACCCATCAGAACCCTCCTTGACTGGGTAGATATAGTAAGGAGCATTGATAATAGAGTGAGGGAAGGAGTGAGCATACTGACTCGCTCTCAATTTCAATTACTAAAACAGAGGGTTTGATTATAACACAACACTATGAAAAACATTCCGTAATCATAACACATTGTCATTCAGCATCAATACAAGTTTTCATCGTCAAACAATTGAAGTCAGAGGCGAGTAGACTATCAAGCAGACTGTGCACCACGGTACCATGTGGGTTAACAGACGCAAACCAAAACAACATCACATGGATTGAATGTGGACCTACAATATCCACACAGTTGATAGTACCATATAAATGGCTAACACAGGAATATTCGGAAAACTAAGCTAAGTTATTCCTTTGTGACTGGCTGAATACTGAAGAAAAAACTTGGGAAACCCGAACTAGTTTTTTAAAGTTATGAACGTCAATATAATATACACATATTTTGCTAATTTTTCAATCTACAAAGTCCCCAAAGAAGGTTATTGGAAAATGCTAACTTTAACATATTTGAGGGAACCTTTTTTAGAAAAGGATTTCAAAAGAATTTCTAGTGCATTTAAAGCTTTCCCATTTTAAACTAGATGACAAGATCTATTCCTTAGCATTTTTGCACTATTGAATTCTGTCATTGTTTTCAATTTTCAGGCAACCTCTAACCAATTTGAAATGCACTTTTCAGTAATTGTTTGGGCCTTTCACACATTAGAGATTATACCACTCTTTTTAAAAAAGATGACTTCTGCATTTCACCATTTCCACTGGCCTCACCAATTTCTTCCAAATAGCAAAACAGGGTTCATCTTTCAAGCCATTTCTTGAAACTGTGCTTGTTCAGAAATAAAATTAATCATCCACCAATCCCAGTGCGTAATTTACATGACAGTGAATGTCTCTTCTGACCATTGTTTGGTATCGCATGAACCTCATTTCTTGCTTGAAGCTACATGACAGGCTTATGCGACCATCTCTCAATACTAAATGGCATTATGGCAAAACCAATATTCTATCACACTACCAACCAGGTCTAAAAACCTTACCCTAAGGATCCTCCAAAGTCACATCCACAGTTGAACCCCAGACAGTATGTGCCACTGGTTTTACCCGACTATGGCACACTGACCTAGTTCAATCTCTAATTAGAATTTAATCTAACAATGGAGGAGATGTATCCACCCCTTACGTTTTAGAAAGTCCCACTGAAAGGTAAAAAAAGCATGGCGCACAGAAGGTTTTGATAGTCTACACACCCCTTACAAAATACGTGAATGACGAGAGTAATTTTCTTTTTAGGTTAACTGAATAGGTTCATTCTAGCACAATAATGATAATAAACATATTTAGTGATATATTCTTAACTTGCTTGAGTTATTACATACTCCTTCCCTCAATGTTTGTAATGCCATGGGGTTTTCAAGTGTTCAAAATAACCTACCTGCTCTTCACTTTTCACAATTTTCTCCTCTAGCTCAGACTCTGCATCATTGTCATTCGATTTGCCTTCTTCTGTATCCATAATGACTGGCTCATCATCTCTGTCTTCTCCTTGCCGGCTGTCCCATCGGCTTTTTTTATCCTTTGTTATCTTCTGTTTAATTGGTTCACTGCAAAAAAAAAAAACGAAAACAAATTTGAATCGTCACAGTCGACACACATAAATTTTATGTGAACAAAATGCACAATGCAAGCGCTACAGTTGTCGCGCAACACATGTTCAATTTGATGCTGTGGGTCCCATATCAAACGTAACATCTGGTTATCTAGACGACATTAATTGCAACTTCTGCCTAACTGATTGAATGAAAAAATGAAATAAATAGATTTGCAATCATTTGTAGAAACTCTATATTTCAGCTAGAATACAAAACATGTACACATACACTAACGAATCAGTTGCAATAGCATTTCATTTAACTGCCAATAGACCAATTGTTATTACACCCTCAAATTACTACCTACATAATCCTTTCAAGCTCCAATTAATTTTTCATCACATAGACAGTTATTATTATTAATTAATATCATACTGAATACATATTAGTGGTTCAGCTATTTAAAACAAGCAGCCTCTCGACTGAGATAGCTCCGCTGTTAGCAATGCACATTTCAATTAAAGAACAGAAGATATCATTAGAAAATGAACAATATGCATAGTATCAAAGAAATAGGACTTGCTGTTTTCAACAAGAATTCAAAAATATCATTTTTCACCATAAATGATTGTGGTTTTTAACAAGAGAACATCACTTTTTACCAAAAATGACAAAAATATTCACCAAAATTAGAGAATTGAAGATATCATTACAAAATGAACAAATCAGAAAAAGGTCCACATGTAGTACCTATATATGTAATATCAAAGCAATTGGACTTGTGGTTTTTAACAAGAAGTCGAAAATATCACTTTTTACTAAAAATGACAAAAATATTCACCAAAATTAGAGAATTGAAGATATGATCATGAAATGAACAAATCTAAGAGAGGTCTGCCCAAGGTACATATACACCAAGTATCAAAGCATTCAGACTTGTAGTTTTCAAGAAGAAGTCGAAAAAGTAAAACATTGACACAGACGACTGACAATCACTCATATGATAAGCTCCGCTCGACAAAGTCGACAGCGGAGCTAAAAATAGGAAAGGGATGCCTAAAGCTGAAAGGATATAACAGAAAGAATACAGGTAAGTGTATTTCTTTATCCTAAAGATGCTTTTTTTAAATTCAATACAAGCATTTTTTTCATAAATACTATACTATCCAAATACTATTTCACTGGTTCCTCACTCCCGAATCTCGCGAACTTTGACCAACATTTTGAGCTCAACAACTATGTAAATTCATTATATTCACTATGTAATGTCATGAAGGTGCACATAGCATATGGGAAAAACAAACAACTGTCATCCATTGATTAAAAAACTAGCATATTCAGATTAAAAGAATGCTACATTTTTTCAGCCAATCAATACGACAGTCATCCACAAGCTGTGGAGAGAAAATATTATCAGAACTTTCGGAGAATAATGAAGAACACAGCAGAAGAGTAGTTGTGTACCCACGTTACCCCAATACATACACTAACCTTGGTTGGTCAGCTTGTGGCCTTTCTTCCATGGACATCTCAGCTTCAGGTGCGGTGTGGTAACTCTCATCTCTTGGATCTTCTTTTACATGAATTGGTGACTGGCTAGGACTCTCACTGCTGCTCTCTTGGGGATCTACAGATTTCACCTGAATATAAAAATATCAATAAATGAAAAGCTTTGGAAAGTATGAAATATTCAAAAGTCATGTGTTTATTAAAAAAAAACTGTTGTAGCAAAACAATCCATATTGTCTGTGGGCACTACACAGATCTATTATTTCTAAATTTTGAAAGTTTTTTGGTTCATGATTCAACTTGGGAAATTATCATGGGCCACTAATTACAACAAGGGCATAATTACAGGACTGTGGGCCACCTATTATCTAGCACTGACCCAAAATGAAAGCAAAAATGACCTGCTTTCCAACATTTCGTGTCACAATATTATACTCTACAGTGCATGTTTATACGCGAAAAATTGACTAAAATTGCTTTCCAATTCAAATTTTTACCATCTTCTTGAAATTCACCATTTTTGTTTACATACTGATAAGTATGTCATTTATGGCTCTGCCTGAAATTAATGCAGATCTTTTCCTGATTCTGAATATACATGTATATACAAATATATATATATATATATACATGTAGATAGAAGTCCTTGGTAGCACAGTACATTTAACCTATATAGCCTATGGTAGTACAAGGGTTAATACAGTGCATATGTTATTATGGTACATGTAATGTACACATATATAATGTACATTCCAGATTGTTTCAATGCCCATAAGTAACAAAAACTGTGGTAATCCAGGAAGCTACAAATCTTTGTCGGATTCTAGTCAACATGCATTTCAGAGGATTAACCTGAATGCTGTCTTTTTTCTAATCAGAATGAGAATTTAAAATCCTTTGCAATTCCCCATGGGCAGGAGTTAACCCTCCCCCTTGTTTGATATGTGCCCTTTAGATTTATCTTGTGTTTTTCATTTGAATTAAAATGCTAAAAGCTTCAATCCAGGAAATGACGAGTACCTCCAAGGGTACACATGTCTGAGTTTATGCAAGGCTTACAATGGGTTTTATTTTTCTAAATTGAATAAGTTACATAATAACACGATTGGTCTAAATTAGGAGCACATTTCTACGTTAGGTGAATGTAAACTAACAATTGCATTTCATGAAGCCTTCAAAGAGCACTTATTTTGATTATGTTAATGTATTATTTTATGTATTATTTTATTACAGACAAACCTTTCATTCACATAAACACAAATTCTAACTAATATGGTACCTGTCATACAAAGCAGTATTTCCTTATTTTGAATTTAAAACCTGGATGAACATGCATGCAGCATGAAATCTGAGCATCTAGTTAATTAGTCAACAATAGTGAATCACATTTTCATTTGGTTACAACCTTCTTGTCATGAAACTATGAAAATACAGAGGAAATATTTAAAGAAAGGTAAATTAAACATTAAAAAAAAAAATATACAATAATAGCAAAAGTATGTAACATTTAACATTATTAATTCTGTTTTATTTTCAGTGACCAAAGTTCTTCATTTTTGGGGGCAAATCAAAAAGTAAATTTTATGTAAACAAGTTCAAGAATTACTATGCCAATTAGCTATGGTCATTTCATCAATATGTATTATTTAATTTCTTGTATTTCCTTTTATGTAGTGAATGACTAGCCCTTAGTTGTATCAAGGAAATCTATTCTGTAAACTAACCCAGGTGTCATTTTTCACATCTTTAGTTAATGCTTGTTTATAACCTACCTACCAAATAATCAAACTTTTTATCTTACAGATGTTTTTTTTAAATTTATTCTATTTGACTTGATCAGCCAAGAAATACAACAATAAAAATTGTGTATATAAAAACACTTGTGCAGCAGTAATTACCAAGAAATAAATATCATGTTAACATTTAGTTTTTGAGTTAAAACAGATGTGCAATTTTTACACACACAGGTCACTGAGACGATGGATAGGAAGTAGTCACATCATTGTGAAAATGCAGTTTTCAACATAGCCGGTATTATAATGTAATATGTGTATATTACACCAATTTGTCGAAAAACTAGCAATACCTGCGAATTTTAAAGTTAAAGAAATACACCTTCCAGAAACTAAAGTTTGCATATGACAGGCAGGCTATTTGTTAGAGTAACCTAAATTGCAACAATCACAATTTCCATAAATTTCACAATTCACAGTATATCAGGCCCAACACAAAATTGCTATTATTACTAGATCCCCTTGAAAACTGGTACATGATTCAGCAAAGAATGAAATAACCTTTTATATTTTTTGTAAACCAGAACTTTTTGAAAAAGAGGCGATTTTATTTTTCAATAGACTTAAATTTTTAATCCACCCAAGACATTCATTTATTTATTATATTTTGTAATTAGGCTAACAAGTACTGAAACCCTAACTATAATTTTTTTATTATTATTTTTTTTTTATACTGAACACAGTCTTATGCTGGGAAAATTATATGTATATATGATAATACAAACTATACAAAAATAACTGTACACCTACACACATTTCTTAAAGACATGTCAGACACCAGCAAATTTATATTTTGTTTAAAAGCTTTACGTAACAAAATGACACAGGTAACATGTAGGCGGTCAATCTTTTGAAAACATGAATTAACAACACAACACACGTCTGCCACACGCTAGACACAATGTCACATTTCCTCATCTAAAGGTCAAATTGACCACCACACAGACATCCATATTCAAATGTAATGCCAGCACAACAACACCATTCCCATGCTAGGGTTAGGAGCTTCAATGTCCTTGACATAGATTACATGCCAACTATATCACAACTGTATTGTCCAATAGTGATGAATTGATAAATAAACAGCAACCATAGAACCCCGAATACAAAGAGAATATGTTGTTCGTTTAGCACATTTACAGAGATCCCAGACATGTGAGAATTAAAAAACAGTTGAATAATTATTATATTACCTTCGTCCCCATATTATTACAGATGCAATCAAAGTCAGCTGATAAGAAGGGATAAAAGAATGCCTAGTAATTTCCTCTGACTACGTTTACACTTCACAGATATCACAGAAATGATATAATCCATTAATAATTAGTTACAATCAAGTGGGTAGCCACATAATCACAAAAAACACTGGTAGACATCAGAACTACAGCACATGGCCACATAGAAAATTCTGAACTAGACCACTTAACTTGAGAGTTATTAGCCACTTCCCACAATTCTCAGAAAAAAAGACCACATAGCTTTACAGAAATATACACCATCCCTCAGAGAAAAAGTGTTAAAATCATGTTGCTTTGGTTTTCACTTCAAAAAACACAACATAGTTCATAGAATCTAACAATAACTTCACAGTAGTTTATTCTTTATAACAATTCTACAGTTTTAATACGCTTTCTGTATAATAATCAGTGGTCTCATCAGAAACACAGCTAATTTGCATAATGATTTATTAAGTGTTGTGATAATTATGCTATATTGTTGATTCAAAATTATAGAGCAGGGGTCAGTCTCCAATAAATAATAGGAGAGAAGCATGCACTAGACAGAAATAATAGAATATACAAAAATTAGGCCTGCATACTAACAAGGAATTTATGGTAATGAGCAGCGTTACTATGGTCATGATACAAATACATGCATCTTTCTCGTACATATAAAGGTAGCTTGATCGATATTACATTATTATTTTCTTTCTATTTTGCACCAAATTACATATTTAGCATGTATTGTAGTGAAAACCACTCAAATAATTAAGGGGCTTTCTGCTCCTGAACTGAGATTTGATTTACCGGTTAATTATTTTAATTAAAATATCAATAAAATACGCTTTTATCTGGAACAAATCATTGGGAAAGGAGTGGAGCTGGCTTCCTACACACAGTACTTACCCATCAATACCACATTTTTAATGCTTATTTTATGCTTCAAATGAATTATTTTCATTGCTTTCATTTTCAATGGTGCCTGGCAGAACCCCCCCCCCCCTAAAATCATGATTTGGTCATATTACAATTTAACTTTGTTGATCTTTGCAAGGGTTATTATGTCACTAATTTTTATTCATTTCAAATTCTTCAATATCCAATGCTTTTAGCATACATTTGCCTAGTTCTTCATTGACAACCATTGCCCCCCCCCCCAATAAGTAATTTCTTAATTTTACTGTATTGAAAAATATATACATGCATTTACTATGTCAGCTATAAATGCACACATTGCACTGTTGGGGCATTCCCATGATGTCATCACAAATCAGACGAGCAAAACAGGCCAAAAATTGCATTACATGCAAATAAATTTACTGATGTGATTAGCGATGTTTCAGAATTACTTAATCTTGGAGTTGTGTCAGCAGTGATAGAGTGGTAAAAATTGCCAATAAATTTGTTGTGTAGCAAATTGGAATAAATCTTCACATTGCACATTGTGTTGTGAGACTTGTTTTTGTCACATCATTGAAATGATGAAATGGATAGGATTCACAAATTTTAAATAAATGACATGCACCAGTAACCTCTAGTACAGACAACAGGTTTAAACGAAACTGGCCAAGATAAATGGTTGATGACATGATACAAAACATGTGCATATGAATACTATTATCTCTTGTCTTTGTACCAAACCAAAGGTCATCAAAATAAAATACAAATCAAAATGCATATTTAAGTTTCACTGCTAGAGTTAATCGCGATTTCAGAATTTTATGTAATTTGTAAAGACAAAATTTTGCACTAGTCACTGACACTGTCTCGTATAACACCACTTTTCACTGCTAAAAAATGTTGTGGTTTACATTGACTCGTGAAATTTACGAAAATTTGTCTTTCACAATTTACAGTATATAATTATATCCTATCTTTGTAAGCAGTCAAAGCATGTTTAGGAAATGGTTAAAACACAGGGCTGCATATCATGTGTAACGTTCATACGTTTAAATAAATCATTCAAGACGTGCCTGAAAACTACTGATTCTTTGGAAACAAAACATGTCACCAGCCAGTCAATATCAACCAAACAAACAATGTGTATATGTAGTCTACACTATGACTAAATCAGTCCACACATGTACAAGAAACAATTCTGAACAGCACACAAATGTACATACAAACGAACAGATCCACAAAACAAAGTTTCTGTTTTCGACTATATCCATTGGAGACTAAAAACAAGAAATACTCACATTTGACGACATTCTCTGACCATCTTCTTCATCTTCATCAGATGAAGAGGAGGAAGAAGAAGAGGAGGAAGATGAATCGGATGAGCTGTCTGATGGAGATCTGATTTCTCTTTTTGCTTCCCTGGACTCCTCCTTACCATCTTCACCTTCCTTCACCATTTTCTCATCACCACTATGTACATCCACTTCAGAGAATTTCTTGTCGGTTTTCTTCTTAGCTTCATCTTCTACTTCTTTTTCTAGTTCTTCAACCTTTTCTGGTAGATCAGGTTTTTCGTTACGATCACTTTTCACCTCAATTTTCTTACCTCCTTTTGCCTCCTCAGTTGTCTCAGTGTCAATTTTTCCTTTTTTGTCATCTTTAGTTTTGGGAATTTTTACCTCTGCTTGTTCCTCTTCGTTCTTTGTGTCACATGGCTTCTCAATGACCTTTGAACTCTCCTCCTGTACATCTGCAGTTGCTGATTCCAACACCTCTGCATTTTCTCCCTTACTGTCACCTTTACCATGCTGTCTACTTTCAAGAGCCTCTCTCTCCTCAGATTTCCCATCATCTTGTTTTTCTACAACATCTTTCTTTCTGGATCTAACTTCCACTTTAATCTCTTCTGTGACAGCCCCATTCTCTTCTTCTGTTGTATCACTTTCATCAGATTTTTGTTTGCTCAGTGACTGATTCAATTCTTCAACCTGGTCAGCGAGAGCAGTAGGGATACCAGCACCCAATGACTCCTTTTCACTTTCTGACTGTCTTCGCTGTTTCGTGGCTTCTTCCTCTTTTTCTTCTTGGATCTCAGCCTGGTGTGCTGCAGCGGCAGCTACAAAACAGATTGAATTCAATCAAGATCACGTGACCACATGCTCGTCAGGAGTAGTCAAGTGGCCAAACTTTATATCGTATTAGTACACAGACACAGTTTGTTTTGATTGATCAGATTACCAAATAGCGGTACAGATTTAAAGATCTATCAAATTGCCATACCAGATTTTACACAACACAATGCTAGTACTTTAAAATCTGTATTATTAGCTGTGGCTTATATTAAAATGGTACATGTACAATGCAACAGGAGGGTTGCGGCTTCTATTATAGCAACCGCACATATAGAAATGATGAATTTTTGATTCTCAATTATTCAAAAAGAATGGGTGCGACTTCTATTTGGGATGCAGCTTCTAATACAGATTTTTCGGTACACATCACTGAATGCATTGACTGTGTACTATTTAAAACAGAGATATTTTACCTTGTAAAGACTCTCGTTGAGCTAGCAATGCTTGTTGTTGCTTCATATACTGTTGAATAAAAGCATTGGAGCCCACAGTTTCATCTGCAGCAATCTGGAAGAACAAATATTCAGTGTACTTTACTATGAGGGTGGATGTACCCAAGTAAGCTCTGTCAATATATAACATGCATGCAAGACCGAAGGGTCTAAAGGATAACACATGCTTTAGAACTCCCATAACTATTGATGTGTGAAGAACTCACTGAAATAGCAAACATACAGATTTGAATCTTCAGCAATCCCAGCCGAAGATCGTAACACATCATACCAACAATGCTTTCAACATAATATGTCTTTGATTGGAAAGCAACTTCCCTGTGTGTCAGTACAAGCTTGCCAAATCAATGAAGCTTTCAGTTGCATGATTTCAAATTTCTGATTGGTCTAAATTAATCTAACGACGAACAAGCACTACATATTTTTGAGGGAAAACCTAGAAAACTCAGTTATTTGAATGTCTATTTTTGGCGTAACTTAAACATCACAGCGTTATTATTTTTTGGCAGATTAGCTTACTTTCTAATCTGCCGACGCTGGACCATATTAAGGCAAAAGTTACATCTGTCTACAGGGTTCTCGACGAGGGGTTTTAACAGGACGCCGCGCCCTGTTTTCTGAAATTGTGCCCTGTTTAAATTGTCAGCACCCTGTTATATTTCCTGTGCACCCAGAATTGTTTACAAAACAGGCGATCACTCATTGTCTTCTGAAGATGATTCATCATGCTCGAGGTAACTGGTTCATTGTTTTAAGGTGTGAAAACTGTGAAAATTCCGGCTTATTATTGTAGCAGGTCACCTTGAGGTGATAACACCACCGAACAATAAGTTACAAGTTTTTTCAACACGATTAAAAATGAACATGTGGCCTAGGAAAGTATATTACCGTACCCATATTTTTACTGCCAGGGTGACGTCAAATATATAAAATCGATATCGGTAAAACCATTCGTTAAAACATAAGATCTAAGGTTAAAACCAGTTAACGCCGTTACATCCTCGTTACCGTTATAAAACCCTGGTAAAACGGCCATGCTTTCAACTTGCATCATAAGTGGAGGAAATAAATTTACTTGTGTTCTTCTTAGAACAAATATTCTGATTGGTTGTTTTTCAAGTCAATACGTGGCTTTGTCCAATCAAAAGCATTGTTACCTAATATCAGGATGCACATAGTAAAATGAACTGTTTCCGGGTCACTGCTGTTTTTAACGAAGCAGACATCAACAAACTTTCGATTCGAATGAAAATTATTCTTCTAAGTATGCATTTTTTTATACATAACTCTATTATTTATGATAGTAACTGTTAATTGCAGATCGAAAATCTTCTATTGTGTAGATTTTATTTTGTTTGATCATCTTGCTTTTTGGTGCCGATGACGCACATTCCTGCAATTTTTTTAATGAACCAATTACAAACGTTTATGCGATATCATGAATTTAATAAATTTGCTTCGTCAAATAAATATAAATCACAATTTTTGCTAAAAAATTAAATAAAGCATGTATGTATATTTAGTAAAATAAATTAACACACTTGTTACGTCTTTTTCTGGACGCAATCATTACTGGTGAACAACTGATGTCGCCGCGTGATGAATCGTGCAGCTAAAATCAGCTGATTGTACGTGCTGACGTTTACTTAATAATAGCTCTTCAAAATTCTCATTCATTTTGTAATAATATATATATATATATATATATATAATGCATATGTAATAATATGTAAATTAATAGATTTCTTGGTTTCGTTTTTTTAACATCCATGCCAATGATGCACGTTACAAATGTGCAACACCTACTTTACATTGGCGCACCCTGTTTAATTTTCAAACCGTGGAGAACCCTGGTGACCAGGTCTATATATCCATTTTATTGAACTGACAATCAAATTATTCTATTAATTCGTGCACAAGAAAAAGAAAAATTTAAACGAATCAAATGTGACCATTCAAAAGTACATGACATTTCCAAAATAAAATTCAAATTTTTTGAAAATCACATTTGTTCTTATTTTTTTACATGGTTCCTCATAAGGTGTAATAATTGTAACAAAAATACGGCAACAGAATACAAGACCTTACAGCAATAGTGCAATGTTTTACTTGTAAATATACACAAGCTAATCACGACTAATACATGACTAATCTTAATCCAACCTGGGTTCAACGTATAGCAAGACAAATATCAGACCTTAGTTTCTACTCAAAGCGAGTGATTAATCCACTCAAAGACCAAGAAGAGCTAATTATCACATGTCCAATTCATATTGTTTTGAAGTGACTAGTAGCATAGGAGAACCAGTTTTAGCATTCAGGCCATTTTCAAAATGCAAGCCAAAAAATGTTAGCTACAAAATGTCATTCAAACTATTATGATTTAACTTTTGTTGACCTGTGTATCATGCAATGTTGCATCTTGTTGATCAGTGTAAAATTTTGACTGCCATAAATATTTGTTTGTTTCATAACTAGAGAGGACTTAATCTCCTATTGTTTGCTGTGACTTCTTGCCTAAAAAGCTGAGTATATTCAATGGTGCAAAATGAACAAGTTATTTTTACACACTCATAAAATAATTGAAAACTTCACAATATTGGTTCTGAAAATGGAGTCTGGACATACCATAACACAAACGGTTATCAAAGCGTTAGTCATTTAGATTGAATTTTTATAAACTGACAATATTTTTACGCCAGTTATATGCTCTGTACTTTGTACTAGACACACAGTGGGCAGAGTGATAACTGAGGTCATCAAATCAAGATAAGAATAACTACAAACCACTCACTTTTTCACTTGGTAAAATATCTGACTGTGAATTCTCTTGCATTTTCTCCAGTGTCACTTGCTGCAAAGAATACAAAATTTATATATACATAAATTTATGGGTTATGGTTTAAAGAACAGTAAGTTTCATCATAATCAACAACGCATGGCCGATACAGTGTTTAGTGTGACCTTCGTCTCCAGTACCCATCATGCAATGCAGATAACTGTAAAATTAAAAGCCAACAGATTCTACTTTGTTCTCATCTTGAAAACCATGATTTTTGAAACATGAAAATATTTGATTCTTTCTAGTTTCTTGATTATTATAATATGTCAATACATATACAAATCAATTGACTGAAAATAATTAATAGAAATTTTTGAAGTTTGAATGTGTGACTAGAATTACGAAACTTGTTTATCTTGAAATGAAAAGCATGATAAGCAAGCATTTGTACACAATCCATGTTACGCTCGAGACTGCATGTGCTTGATTGTTTGGAATGTATTTCTGGTCAAATAATTCAAAGTTGATTGAAAGTACGTTTTTTACACAGAGTGGTTTAATTTATTCATTTGAGGTTGGTATTCAAATAAAAGTAGCAAGATTTCTGTACATTTTCCTTTGATTTTTTGACATTCATAAGCAATTTAGTTGTCCCTCTTGGAATTTAATTAATTTCAACTTGAGAAGATCGAGAATTAGGTGTATTATCAAAGATGGACCTGAACAGGAAGTCAGTAGAAGACAAATAATTTTTTCGTTAGTATGGGGGAAAGTTGGTTAGCGTGGGGGAAAATTAATTGTCTATTCTTGTTTGTGATTGATCGTGGCAACGTTTGGGGGATCGTGATGTAGCTCCATCTTTGAGAATATCAAAATATGCAGCCCATGTTTGCACACATAAACAGAGCAAGAGAATGATACAATATGCTGTACAAAAGAAATGAAAGAACATTATTTTTCATAAATGCATGAAATTTAGTGGCTTCGTGTTTTCTGTTAAGACAAGACTAGAGAAAAGAGGTAACAGAATTGATGAAAAAATTTATATACATTACAACAACAAAAAATGGGTCAAAATTTCAGAAAAATAAAGTAGCACATAAGGCCAGGAAAAAAATTCTGTTTCTGAGGCGATTTTTTTTTTTTTTTTTTTTGAAGACTGAGCTAAAATGGGGAAAATTTGAGAAAAGTGCTTAAAAGGGAAAAAAATGTTTGAGGCGCATAGTTCAAAATGATGCGCGTGGAAACAAGAAACAGAGATTTTTTTTTTCTCTGCCTAACATTAGAGAATTTATTTACATTACAAAAATAAGGTACATCACTTGTCACACAACCTTGGGTCACACAGCCGGGTTTCAGAAACAATCTAGTATTTACAAGTGATACTCAACATCGGAAGAGCTCCTTGGTAGATCATCTGCCTACCGGTATACATGTAAGGGAGGGCATATCTATGTTTAAATTCGCCACAGATGGCGCTATTCAAAAGCACCCTAACCGAAGTAACACAAATAGTGTACTGTGTATTTACATTTTGCTTGGTGCGGGAAGAACGAACAGTACATCACAAAGATACATCTCAGTATGTTGACGCAAAATAATGCTTAACTGATGAGCAACTGGCGACGAATATACAAATGAAATAAACTGTTATTTCTGCCCGAGTATTGAATTTAAATGTTTTTATTTTGCGGGAAAGTGGAATTCGATTTGAAAATGCAGTAGGACACAAGTGGTTATAGCAGGGATTCAGATTGATTTTAACACTACTTACAGTTTTCAAACGTTTTATAAGTTGACTCTTGGTACCACTGTTGGACAACCCACGCTTTTTCAGCTCTGCCTTGAGGTCAATGACTCTCAGCGCATCGATTCTTTTTCCGCTGATGGTCAGGTCTGCGTCCTTAATGTCCGCCATGATGAAAGCTAGCCGGTTTCGGCTTTTCTCGGCAAAGTTCGAGTCGGGCCCGCGAAGATTAGTTCATTCTATACAGGGATATTTGAAGTAGATTGTCAATGAACACTTATTGATAGTTCTGTTCAGTTTTATAAACCTGCTCTGTATTTCCGTAAAATCCTAAGCAAATTTAAAGTATGATATTGTAAAATAATAAATTGTTCTAAATTTTCAAAAAAAGCCTGAAGTGATAATATCCCTGCGAGCAAAGTCTTCCAAATCTATTTTCAAAATGGTTTAATCCAATCAACACATTTGCAAAATGGCGGCCTCCGTAATACCCTGGTAGTCGTTATGGATTGAATCTATTGCCACGTTAAAATTATTGCCTGTAGTAGTATTTAATAACAAAAATGGATTCTAGACGTCCGCCCGACACTCATTTACAGTATGTGATGAAAGAAGTTGGACGGGCTTTGATGTTAGACTCGCAAAACAAAAATAAGGTTGGTGACCCATTGACATTACGGATTACGTAAATACTAATACTAGTGTCTGAGGTAAATACTAATGCAAGTAAATGAATCAGCTATTCGAATAAAGCATTGGATTCTGGGCAGGCAACAACAACCGTTGTTGCTACAGGAGTTAAAAACTATACACTCCACTGCATTCTATAAGAAAAAATACTAAAAAAAAATAAGTTACTCGTACCCGAGTTTTATTTGATTGACTTTACAAGAGACTTCGTGATGGTCGTCTTTCGCGGTCAGAAATATTTACGAAAATTGTTGTTCACTATTTTATACACTGGCTTGGCAATTGCCATCACCGGCAGAGCTCCAGAAGGAGTACCTGCACTTTATGCAAATTTTTTAAAATTATGCTAATTTATTCATGACGTAGCAGTTTCTGTGCTCATGAATATTCATTAATTTGTGGGTCAATACATTTTAAAAGGGGCGATATATTATTTTTGGGGGAAGAGTTAGAAAGGGGGATTAGCAATCCTTAGGGGGTCAATACAAAAGAAGGGACCCATTTGGAGAGCAGCCATGCTCCTCGTGTCTGTTGTTGCACGTGACCTACAGCTGTCAACTGTGTTCGTTCTTCGACGACTTCGACTGGCTTCCATGTGGGGTAGTAATCTTGTGTTCTGTTTTCCTGACTTGAGTTTTTGAATTCGCTGTTTATGTTTTTAACGTCTTTCGTGTCTTTTATAGGAGTGTCCAATCCGTGATTCGAACTTGCGATCTTTGAGTTCCCAGCGCACTGTCTTGTCCACTGTACCACGAGTGTCTTCACACGGGAGTTAGGATTTAAGTCCTATTCTTAGGAGCACTGTCTTCACTAGCATTCAAAAATCTAACTAAACATACTGAATTCGAACCAGCGATCGCTCACATTGCTGACATAGTACAAATCAACTGAGCTATGTGGGTAGTCATGCAAATTAAATAATTTGTTGTCATATTTAGCTTTATTGCCAAATGGTGTTTGCGAGAAAAAGAT